AAGGCTGGTGAATTAGGTACTGTTCCCATTTTTGTACAGCAAACACCACAGCTAACAACTCCTTTTCATAGACTGATAGTGCCTGCCACCTGGGTCCCAATGATCTGCTAATATAGGCTATGGGATGTTGATTCTGCATCAAGACAGCCCCAATTCCCTCTTGTGATGCATCAGTTTCTACAACGAAAGGGCTTGAAAAGTCAGGTAGAGCCAATATAGGGGCACAACAGAGTGCTTCCTTCAATTTCTGGAATGACCTGCCCGCTTCGTCAGACCACTGGAAAGCTCCTTTCTTCAATAATTCTGTGAGAGGTTTGCTGATACTTGCATAGTTTTTGACAAATTTCCTATAATATCCTGCCAGTCCTAGGAAGCTCCTCAACTCCTTGACATTGTTAGGGACCTTCCAATTTTTGACAACTGTTACTTTGTTGGGATCAGTAGACACTCCTTGTGCAGATATATAGTGTCCCAAATATTCCACTTTCAGTACTCCAAAAGCACACTTACTCCTTTTTGCCAATAATTGATTTTGCCTCATAGTGTTAAACACTTCCCTGAGATGGATGTAGTGAAGTTCCCAAGTTGGACTATAAATGAGTATGTCATCAAAGAACACTAATACAAACTTCCTGAGTTGGTTCTTGAACACAGCATTCATCAGGCCTTGGAAAGTAGCAGGGGCATTAGTAAGACCAAACGGCATTACTAAGAACTCATAATGGCCATGGTGAGTTCTAAATGCTGTTTTATAAACATCCTTCTCTAACACCCTTATTTGGTGATAACCAGCTCTCAAATCAATCTTGCTGAACACTATTGCCCCTGCTAACTCGTCAATCAATTCTTCCACAATTGGAATAGGGAATTTATGCTTCACAGTCTGTTTGTTTAATTCCCTATAGTCCACGCAGAGTCTCCAACTACCATCCTTCTTCCCAACCAACACTACCGGTGAGGCATAAGGACTGCCACTATCTTGGACTATGCCACTTTGCTTCATTTCCTCCACAATCTGTTCAATTATATCCTTTTGTCTGACAGGGTATCTGTAAGGTCTGATGTTCACAGGATTAGTGTTTGGTTGCAATGGTATTGCATGATCAAATATCCCTCTGGGTGGGGGTAACCCTTTAGGTTCCTGGAACAAGTCATGGTATTCTTCCAATAACTCCTGAAGTTGCTTAGGAGTTTCCATTGCTATTTCAGATTGATCATGCTTGACCTCCTCACT